ATCACATAAATAATTAGTAGTTAAATAATCAATAACATAAATAATTTGATTTTTTTTCAAATTATACATTTATTTTGTAAAGAAATTTTATAATTTGTATATTAGAAAATATAAAGATTAAGTATTTCTCTTTAATTATCTTTTCTTTTAATTTCTTATAAGTTTTAATACATTAGACTCTTTTAAAAGAAAATGAATTAAAAAGAAAATTTTCAAGAGTACATATCTGAGATATTATCACAAATGTGAAACCAGCAGTAAATTCTTTTATTTAAAATCTATAATGACCTTTTCTAATATAAGGTTCTGACTCTTATAAATTATTATTGACTATATAAGACAAATAGATATTTAAAAGTAAGAATAAAGATCCTTTTATCTTCTCAAATATATCTAACTGGTAAAATTAAAATAAGACTTTTATTATTTTTAATCAATATAATAAGATCTAAATAATTATTAAATTTAACTATAATTGCTTTATTTTCTTCAAAAACTATTTTTTAGATTGTATCAACTAAATCATTAACCAAACCTATTTTAGTCTATAGATTAGTTTTGAGTATAACTCTTGAATATCTTGCTAATAATAAATAAGATTCAAGACTTTTTACAATATTTAGATCAACTTTACAAGCTTTATTATTACCTGTATAAATTACATTAATTCTAGCAATATAAAAATTTAGGAATTCTGAGTTTATTAAAATTAAAATTATTAATATTTAACCTATAAGACATAAGATACATTGTATTAAAAAATCAAGAATGATTCAAAGAAGTTAATACTTTTAGAAAATTAGAAAATTATATATTAAGTAATTTTTAATCATCTTCTATTAATTTACCATTTTGTAAGTATAACAAAAGATATCTGAAATTGTATTGTTCATCAGAATTACAAAATGGATGTTAAATAATAATAAGTCAAAAGATCTCATGAAACTGTCAGTAAACTATAATAGTATTATTTAATAAGAAATCTTATTTAATAAATTAAGTGTATATTAGCTTATCAAGTATTAGAAGTAATTGACTAAAGTCTTTAACAAGAATCACTAAATACTTAATTTTTACATTCAGAAAAGATATGATATAAACATAAATTAATCAATACAAGTATATGATATCTAATTATACTTTTTTCGTTAATGACAAAATGATTTATATAGGTATTTTACAATAGAAAAGAAGGAAATTACTAAAATATTTTTTGAGTTAATATTAAATCTGGATTTTTTTATTAAAAAAAATAATATTTAACTTAGAAAATAAAAAAATTTTTTGGTAGTTTTCTTCTTTTCTACTGTAAAATGCTATATTATGTAATTTTTATTGCAATTTTCTTAGATTTTGTTAGATAAATTTAGTGTTTTATTAAATAATGAAATTAAAAATGATAAATATATTATAGCATTATAAACATTAAAAGTAGTAATATTAGTTAGAATAAGTAGTATTATAGGTAAAATAGCTACAATTGTCCTCTCTATAATTATATCCTTTAGACCATCTAATGATGTGATTATAAAGAGAAGTATTTATAGTGAGATTTTTATTATATAATCTTATCTATATAAAATTTTTGATTTAGTATAATTATAAAAATTTTTTAAATGCTAATTTTATTTGTTTAATATAAATTATACTGTAAAAATATTTTTTTTAAAAAAAAAATTCCAATTATTTATTTCAAATTTTAACTTATATTAATATATATATGAAAAAATATAAAAATTAAAATATGCATACATATATTTCTTTATTTTAATTAGATTACTAAAATAAATGAATATTATTATTTCTCAAAAAAATTATTAAGTGTAATTTGCTATTTTGAATTAAATACTTTAGCTTTAATAATTCGCAAGTATTTTCTAAAAGTATGCAAATCATTAATGCTAAATGTTAAATCATTTTGCTATTCAAAATAATTAATAATTATTTTAAATGCTTCAATTTCTTTATTATCCAATATTGCTATACTTCTTCATTTGAAACATTACTTTCAATTTCAATTTCATTTTCTTCATCTTATAATAGATTAATAATTTGTTTATTGATAAAATATTCTTCAGTTTGAATATCTTGATCAAGCAATTGAAGATAATTTTGTAAATTATATGCTTCTGGTAAAAAATCAATATTAATTTCATCTGATTCATTCATATTATCATTTAATTTAAGATTTTGCATGTTAATATCATCTCTAATATTAAAAGATGGTAATATGCCTGTTTTAATCTAACATTTTCAAATAATTGGTTGTGTAATATTCTCTTATGCCTTAGCATAATCAATTGCTTCTTTAATGTTTAGTTTATTCCTAAATAAAAATTATTATTTAAATTATTAAATTAATAATAAATGCTATAAATTATAAATTAAATAAAATATTATAAAAATTTATTAAACTTACATTTTCTGATTTATTTCATTATCAAATTTGTGAATTATATAATTATAAAACGTTCTTTTATACTTGGCTTTAAACTGTAAATAATACCCACATCCATGTTGTTAATTAGCTGTAATGTTTGGTGGAAGATAAACGATCTCAATATTAGTAAATCTAATATCCGGTTTCTTTTTTTTTATTTTTAATATTTTTCTATTTTGAGCTGAATGTGATGATTCTGCAATTACTTCATCATCAAAGTCATTCTCACTTAAATTAGAATTAGTTTCTTCTAATGCTTTTGGATTAAAATGAGACCCTACATTATCAATTAAAAGTAATATTTTTCGATCCATTATAAGAAAATAGTTGTCAAGATAATTAAGCCATTCAATGAAAATATCTGATCTCATCCATGCTTTTGAATTAGCATAATAAATTACAAGAAGAGCCGATTTGTTAAAATTTTTAAAGCATCGAGGATTGAGTGATTTTCCAATTACAAGAAGGCGGAGTTTATAAGAACTTGTAGCATTAGCACAAAGAATAGAAATCTGAGTTTTATCTTATAAAATTAAAATTGTAAAAAATTTGATAAAAAAATTGTAATAAAAAAATGTAACAAAATGTTACCGCTGCGCCAAGGGTGTCACTATTTTTATTAGATGACATCATTTGAAAATCTAACGTGACTTTTTTTTATTGGAAGTTTGTGGAATTGGAGCACTCGTAAATATATATTTAACTAGCCAGTTCTCATAAAAAATTGTTTACAAAAGAAACCACACACGATCATAACAATTTTATCGTTGTTAAAAAGTTTTGATCCTTTCTGAAATCACTTTTTTTTTGAAAAAATAATTATATCTGTCATTGTTATTATATAAAATCAGTTTCACTTCAATTAATTAACTGTCAAAATATTTCCGTTCTTTTGTGGATTTTGCGATCGATTTACATCCAATACATTGGATATTATATACGTTATGACAGAGTATAAACAATACTGATTGAATTATAAATTATATCTTTAATACTTACTTCATAGATAACCAATTAACGATTAAAGGATATAAGCAATTTGGAAACGATATTCATATGAATTGTTTTTAATTTTCCGATTCCCTCTCCCCAAGTGATTATTGTAAAACGTGTCCTCCCCCCTGTAAACTAATTTCTGCATTAATTCGGATTTTAATGGTGCATTTTAAAACAATAACCACGCCACGATAAAATTATAATAAAAAACAATTTTTTTAGGAACATTTTATTTAATTAATTTTTCCTATGAAAATTTATTTGTCTTTTATTTTCGATCACAAACGGTAATTGTTAAATTCGTGCACCATTAAAATCCGACGTTTTACGGTAATCAAAAGGCATCAATAATGGATACTCGGGAAAATTCTTTCGATTTCGAAAAATAATAATTGCGATTTCACCGGAAATTCTTTCGAATTTTAATTTTACTAGCCACATCAGCCACTTTATTTTATTTGTATTTTATATCTAAATTAGTGCTGGAACATTAAGTTAAATAAAATAATACATTACAATACGAGAAACAAATTTTATTACAAAGGTTATTTTTGTAAAAAAAGCCTTTGTTTTTTTTTTGCTTATTATAAAAATAAGAATCTTGTTTTTGAAAATCAATGCGGCGTCATTTGCTATTTAACATATTTAACAATACATATGCGCAGATCAGTTGATTTCATGTTCCTTTATCAAAAAATTCAATTCACACAATACTTAGTTCTTTGTCCTTTGGTAAGTATTATTTTTATGATGTAACTAATTATGAATTTGAATTGTTAAAACACAATTTGGAATTTTTCAATATATCTAAATATAATCCGAATTTTGTTATATAAAGAGATGAAAGTCGGCTTCAACTTCTCAATAACCTCCCTCAATAACATCATTTTATCAAATATGAAAGCAACTGGCAAACAACATTAAATTTTCTGAACCCCCTTCCGATCAGTAGTAGAAGAAAAATAATTAAACTTCTACGATTACGTCTCGTAAAACGAGAAGCTCTACTAGAAATTCCGAAAAAAAGACAATCCAAAAAAAGGACCCAAATCCATTGTAGTCTTTCTACAACGAACACATTAGCTCATTTCGTTTTATTTTTATAATGAAGATGTATAACTTACCGAAAGTTCTTATGGATGTTGTAGAACGACAACGTTTTCACTTCCTACTTGTTCCATTAATTTTTCATCGAATAGTTCAGATGATGAAACAGCCTTTCTCCTTCAACACAAGTTAAATCTTCAGGCCAGTCAACCTTTTTCTTATCCCAATAAAACTTCCTGCGGCGCATAATCTAGTGTAATTCATATAGTTCCTATCCGAAAACACAAACTTTGCATCATTCGTTGAGCCAATTATTTGAATCTGGCAATGTCTTTTTCAGCCGTTGCAAGGTTTTGTGGGACGATTGGAAAAGTAATAATACATTCAAATAGTATAGAAAGGAATTTGAGACCCGGAGCATAACAAAGTAAGATCGGGTCACCAACTTTATGTCCTGCCTCATTCCTTAACAGTGAGGGGGCTAATGATCTTCGCCTCCTCTCGAATGTTCTATCCGATGAAGGCGATTTTATTAGGGAAACGTTTTGCGGAAACTGTAACACCACCATACCCAATTAAGTGTGAAGGTAATTTTGATCTCGAATCGGTTAACGAGTCGATTTTTCTGGATTGTTGGAATTATTGAAGAAGTCACGAGAGTAGGAGAGACGATTTCGGTTAGCTAAAAGCTAACCACAAAGCAATATCGATTGATCGTTCTCTCAGACAACAAAACCTTAACCCCATCCTTGTCACAATTTAAAATCCCTCCAAGATTTCAACTAAACGCTTGCATTCGACAACATATTCCACAAACCCGAACAATTCCTTTCCCTGTCTCCTTTAGAAAAGGACCATTTTTCAAAAGTCATCACTTTTTGACTCATACTATATCGCTACAGTCAGAATCTACCTACAAAAAAGTAGGAATGACAACAATTCCGAAATATTGTTCGGATGAAAATTATGTTGGTCACATCACTGCGTCTTAAAACGGTGTTAAGAAATCGATCCATAATGGATTATGAATGGTCAAACAAGATAAAATATCGATGATTGGTGAATTAGATGAAATACTTTATAATCAACGTTGGGATTTCTTCCTGGTAAATGATGATTTTTATTTATCCCCATTTTTTTTTCCTCTAAAAAAGTTTTTTTCCTAAATTCTTTTTTTTCGGTCAATAGTTTCCTCTCGTTAGAAAATGGCAAGATTCTTTTACAGCAAGGTTGAGAACATGCAAGGACAACATGAAATTTCTGTATTGGTGACTTTGAGACCGAAAATTTGTCTCTTTTATCTCACGTGACTTGGTCAAGCGATTCTCAACAATCCAGAATCAACCCATTTTGCCGATTCGATCTCATATAGAGACAACCTACCTCCACGCTTAATTGGGCCGCCCAACGTTTCTCAAATAACATCGCTTCCACTGGGTAAATGTAACATTCACGTACATTGTTATGCTCCGGGTCCCAAATCCTTCCTATACTATTTGGATGTATTATTGCTGCTGTCCCAGTCGCTCTACCAAACCTTGCAACGGCTGAAAAAACATTGCCAGATTGAAATATTTGGCTCAAACGATGCAAAATTAGTGTTGTCTATATGAATTAAACGTCGCAGAAAGTTTCATTAGGATAGGAAAAAGGTTGACTGGCCTGAAGGTTTCACTTGGGTTAAAGGAGAAAGCAGGGTTTGTGGATGATGCAGCATAAAAAATGACGTTTCAAAAGAAAAATCCGATTGCATATTTAGATATCCTTGACCAAAAGTCTTGGAATCCGTTTTTAAAATACAAGATTGTATTTTCCGAATTTTCGAATTATTCCCGTCTCATGTTCAAAATATTTTCAATATGATTGTCTACAAGGGAGGTTCGCTTTTATTTTATCACATCTCCTTTATTTTATCTAATATATATTTCATCTCTTTTATTTTATCAAATATATTTTTTCTTTTTGATAATGAATAATTGTTTTAATTTCTTTTCTTTATAATATTAAATTCAATGTATAATACAAAATTTTTTTTGAATAAATATAAATTTGATATTCATTTTGAAATATTCATTAAATTGTTCTGCCTGAATTTAATAAAAATAATATGAAATTTTAAAAGAAATCGAATTTACCTTTAGGATATTTAACTACTAAATGGTAATATAAAAGGAGGAGTTGAAGAGGGATGTAGTGTGTGATGGTGTTGGAAAGAAATTGGAGGTATCGAGCATAGCTCAATGGAAGGATTAGAAGCTTGTTTCTTCAGGTGAAGAATCACGTAAAGTTTGAAGTTTGATTTCCTCTAGTGTAAATTCATTTAAAGAGTAAATAAATGATTGATGCTCTATTGTAATACGTATAATTTTTATCGTAAATTGGTGAGTAAATCAGAGAATTAACACCATAAATACGAATAATATTATAAAAAAATTTTAGTAATAAATAATAATAATAATAATAGAATAATTGCACTAGAAAAATGCACGTGCAGCTAGTTTTTATCGTTCTTAAATTTATCGTACACGTGTCCATGTTCCATTAGATTCGTTAATGAGGTAGCATTTAGGTAAATTATCATACTTGAAACATAAAATGATCTAAACTACTTATACTAGGTAACGTTGAAGCGTCCGAAGCGTCCGAATAGTTGATATTTGATCAACCGTAATACAATACTACATACATACTTTCAGGTCTACGTTTCGGACAATAATTTCCAATTATTCTGTGCAAAGAATTAATTACTATGAATTTCATGAGATAAAATAAAAAAATTTTTTATCATAATAATTATAATCTGCGAAATAAAGGTTTGCGGGCAAAACACTTAGGTTCGATGGTACCTATATATTTAAAAATTCCATCGAAAAAAAAAAAATTATCAATAAAAAATTTCAATCATGAATTTTTCGATTTATTTAAAATTTTTAAAAAGTTCATAATTTCTATATCCTTTACAAAGGCATTATATCCCTTACGTATTGTGAATGATTCAATCGTAAATATTATTTTTAATATATTTTATTTTATTATTTTTTATTATTTATTAAAAACAAATTAGTAAAAATAAGAAAAAATTTCTAAATGTGTTGCCAATAAGGTATAAAATGTAATGTGATTAATTAAATGTAACATTGACTTAAATTTTGCACAAAGAATCCTTTAACAACTCTTTAATCTGTCGGAATGATTATAAAAAAAAAGCTGGTTTGTCGGTTACACTTATATAACACAAATAAAAGGTTTGAACTGTTTTTATCAAAAAAAAAAATCAAATTCCGTAAAGTTTTCTATAATATTATTGTTAATGGATTGATTTACAATAAATTCTGCCAAAAGTAGGCATTCAATTGAAAAAAAAAAATGAGGGTTCGTTTGATCAAAATAGATTCTTTGTAATTACAATTAACTGTCAATGACAAATTTGGTAATAAAAGTTTATTTGCGAAACATTTTATTTAATTTTATTGTAATATAATTTAAATATAGGGGTGCGCAAAAAAAATCAAAATGCATTGCTTAAATTTTAATAAAATTTTTAAAGTTTATACCATACGTAAAAATATTGTATTTTAAAATTTTACGCACCCTTGCATTTTGCGCAGGTGCGTAAAAAATAAAAACCCTTAATTTACTATTTAAGACTAAATTTTATTTAGAATAATAAAATTTTAACGTAACGCAATCAGATTTTTATTTATGTTTCTTTGTTTCCTTATTTCAATTAATAATAAAATATCGTACCACGGATAAGAAGTGTTCTAAAGAATAAGAAAAAAAAAAGTAATGGAGTTGCCGGTCTGTTTCCTACTACAGTTCTCCAATATGCTCACGTCGTACAACACATCGAAATATTATCAATCAAAAATACAAAAAGAATTTAAATTAAAATGCATAAAAATCTTAAAGAATGTGTGATATTCTTTAAACCATTTACATAATATTTATATATATATAACTTTTTTTTATTCGATAGTAATGAATTCTAAATTTTAAATATTATCTACGGACCAGAAATTTTCTTAATAGGGAAATAATAAACGTAATACATCAGCCAACAATTTGTTTATCTGTTGTATCAAATTCTATGCTCTAAATAAGTTTTCTTCCACATCCATATGAAGAACGTTTGTCTAATAAGCAAATAGCAAATAGCATTTCTCGAGTGTTGATAAAATTTTTGCCTTCCCAACGACCGAAGGGCGTTGGGCTCAAATTACTACTGTAATTTGAACCATATTGATTAAACATTCTAAATACTAATCATCATTCTTTCTTTTTTGATTGATATTCATTGAACATGTAGTATGATTAATGTCCACTTCATTGCATAATCACATTTGTGAGTTTTGTTAACATTATTAGAAGTTTCTAAAGGTCCTTTGAACCTTGCAGTATCTGGCGGTTACCTATACCATAAAAAGAATCATTCTCTTGTCCGTTGACGAGTGACTAAACAAAAAATCTGCATACTTTTTCAGTAACTTTAACATGGTAAGAAAGCGGGGGATGATAACGAAACAAAATAAGAGACAAATCTCGGTATCTGTTGTTCCATAATTTTGATATTGGGTGCAGATGTAAAGTCACACTTGTTTAAATATCAGAAAGCATTTCGA